CTTTTTCAGGGCTTAAGTCTAATAAAAGATTAGGGACTTCGTGAATCATGCCTTTTGACCGCGACCCAGTTATTTGCCACTGGGTAGGTACTAGGTAGGTACTCATTTGTGAACAGAACGTTCTACCACCACTTGCCAGAAATTCAATGAGCAGACAGCAATTGCTTATCCTTAAACGTTTGAGTGCACCTAACAACCTTTAAAAATGACGTCCTCCTTTTCAATGGTTTGCGCGAAGACACATAGCCATAATCATGGGCAGTAATCGCCACGCCATGTGTGGATCGCCCATGATCGTAAATACAATACAATACAATACAATCAACCAAGCAATGGCAGAATCCATTGAGCAGCGCGTCAGATGTGCCCCCGAATTCTCAATCTACATAGCATAGCATACACTAAATGTAGGTACACGCACCTACACATTAGATATTTGAAGGACTTGATAGCTGATACACATGAAAGAAACACAAGGCGCTAAAATTAAACGCAATTAACTAGCTGCAGCAGAAGTTTGGCGTCCGATGCCTCTTCGCCAAGTTAAGACAATGCCAATCTCGGCCAGTCTGCCGCCGCGCCGGCACTGGCCGTGGTGTGACGTCATCCGGCCGGCACGTCGACGTACAGTTCCACACTTAGGTAACTCGCGGCCCGGCGCGGGTGAATAGTTGAGAGCTTACTAAGCTAGTTAGGTTGGAGGGTGAACTTGTCGGTCAGATGTGGGCTTAATGTCGTGTTCGTCCTGTTGCTATTTTGTTGCTATGCCATGCTATGCTATTCAGTATGCATGCTCATTCGAACTCACAGTTTGACCCTCATTTGGGTATTCCAAGTTCAAACTACAGGGTATAGCAAAAGTATCCGGCTATTTTTCTTCCAATCTGTTTTTTTTTTTTTTTTTAGAAGACGGTGGAGCCACCTTTCATAACAGCACAGTCACGAATGCGCTGGAGCATACCAGCCGCCAAGTTCTCCAGCACACTGGCTTTGATGCGGACCAACGGGCAACGCGGTCTTGACCTGTGCCTACCTACAGCTGTTAGAAGGTGCTGATGGCGGGTGTCTCTTTACTCACCTCCTGCCAAGTATTCGATCGGATTTGATTGGGATCGGGACTACATCTGAGCCATAAACCGCTAGTCCAGAATGATTGGAGGTTCTCTCGGTATCACTTCTCGTTCTTTTGGGAACTTTGAGGTGGTGTGCCGCCCTGCATGAAGACAGCGTGGCTTGAATTAGGCATCAGTGCTCGTTAAGAAAGCGAGCCCTGCTGTGCCGTCCGATAAGGTGCCTCCAACCCTACTCCTTCAGTTTTCTCGCCACCGCCTTGGACGTAGACTACCGAGTGAACCCGGCGGAGCCTCGATCCTTACTCAGAACAAGGGTCATCCCGCAAGGTCAGGTCACTCCTGAGTTGAGAACCGATACCATAGGCACGTATTCATCCAATCTCCCATTTCTAACATCAGAAAGAAACTGTGCGAACAGATATGGTGAAAAAATTAATGTTCGGATAGTTTCGTTGCACCCTGTCCTCCTCTTTTTGGTAAAGGCGGCGTCGGTCCGTCTTAACCCTCGCCGGACCTATTGGTTTTCTACATACGCGCCGGCCGAGGGGGGGGGGGGAGGGGGGGCGGGTACGACCCCCCCCCCCTCGCCGTTTCGCCCCTGGTGGAGCTAGCGCGTCGCGGAAAAAACGAGCGTGTGCGCCGTTACGAGACGCAGAGATTGGTACCCGATTTTAAGGTTCTAGGTCAACCGATGACCTCTGAGGTCAGGTCAAGTGCCTCAAGGTACGGTTCAGTTTTTGGTGAATAACTTCGCAAAAAACGGCCGCAGAGCGCCGATTTTGGCAGCATCGTGTTCGTCTCGCTCAGGCGCGTCGAATGATATGCTTTTTGTCCGGGTCAGGTCAACTTGGGGTGTTGACCTCAGGTCAAGGTCAGGTCAGCACCCCCAGGTCACGAAGTTGGTCGAAAGAGGTCATGTCGCATATCATTCGATTCGGCAGGTCTTCCCGAGGCCATTGGTGGCTTTCCCGACTCGCTAGCTCAATTTGATCAAGAGTTATTGACGAAAAACTAATATGACCTTGATGACGTCATAAATGACGTCACGCAGGGTCACCATTGCAAAAGTGACGCATCTAACCTTGCAAGGAGTGCATAAAATCACGATTCTGTGTGCTTGAGATAGTTGGAGATCGTTCCCGGCGCCAGAATAGTAGTTTTCATTTTTCCCCATTGACTTATAATGGTGAGGTCACGAAAATGACCTGACCTCATATGACCTTTAGGAAAAATCCGAGATATACAAGTTGTGGGACTCATAATGGATACTAGATCCTGCAAGTTTCATTTCCCTGTGACATCTCCTCTGGCAGTGAGGGCGTTGCGAAGTTGCGACATCTGGGCCCTGTTTCACCGGTGATAGCAGCAAGCTACTATCAAATTGCGCGAGCTGACGTAATGTGATGACGTCATACTGCTGACGTAAGGGGCAATTCTGGCGCACGATTGCCGCAATATTGTTTTACGTCATCAGCTAAATATTCGAAGTTAATGTCAAATTTTTTTCCTAAACCCAACTTCTTTTAAATACATCATATTGAAAAAATATATATCAAAAATATATATACTATCATGACTGCGTTAACTCTTACTTTTAGGCTCATACGTCACTTAATGCCGCCGCCAAGGTCGCGGCAATCGTGCGTCGGAACTACCCATTACGACAACAGTATGGCGTCACGACATGACGTCAGCTCGCGAAACGTGATAGCAGCTTGCTGCTATCACCGGTGAAACAGGGCCCTGAAGACCGTGCAGAGGTTCACTTATGACGTCATAGGTCAGTGACCTGACCTGACCCAAAAATGCGGTTGGTGTCAAAAGATGCGGCTTGGATCAAAGGTCAGGTATGCCAAGTTTCAGCTCTCTATCGCCAGCGTGTTCGGAGCTATCGCGAAAAAACCCTTTGGGGGGGGGGCGGCACCCGCCCCCCCCCCTCGGCCGGCGAGGGTTAAATCTCTGCAGCAACGTATCGCTAATAATAGTATCGTCCGCTGTCTGCCGTTTTAAAATAGCCGCTGCTGTCTGCGGGCCGCTCTCGAGTGGCGGCCGCTGCCGACCGGCCGCTGCCGCCGCTAACGATACCACCTCTGACGTCATCAGCGGCATCTTGTCAAACAGCCACTGTGGCATGGTCCCACCTGGGTGGCTTCCACACTTTAAACTAATGGTGTCTTGCTTAGATAACTTTTACAGACCTTACTTAAACGTTTTCGGACTGCCGTAACCATCTGTTCACCGCGTACCCTATCCTTGTCTGTTTCCCGTCAACGATCAGTCGACGACCAAGCCTCGCCTGCCTGGCCTTCCACCTGCCGTCTACCGCCGCCATTTCGTCGCCGTCCGCGAGACCTGGCTGCCGTCCGATGTCCCCCAGAGACCCGGGACGGCCCCCGGCGACGGTCGGCAGCAGTCGGTGCGGCGTGCCGGCCTGCCGGTGACCGGTCAGCCGCAGCGCGGCAGGGGCCGGGCAGTCGTCGTCCCGCGGCCGCCGTGTCTTCTCGACCAGGTTACTGCAGCGCCGGCTCTGATGGCGGTGTTTGGAAACCATCGGGACCGTTATTGGTAGTGTCAGAATCGCTTGTGTATGTTGTGTGTTCTATTACCAAATGGGGGCATGAAGACCTGGCTGTCGACGCGCCCCTAAAGCGTAAACGTAAACTCAAACAAGCAATCAAGTCGCCACTCACTTAAAACTGCAGATGATTGTGACTTATCTTGACAACCTCGAAACAGCAAATTGAAAGCACCAAGTTAGCTGTGTTACCTGGAACTATTGTAATTACTAGTTATTATGGTGCCTGACTAGTATGTCATTACGTCTGAAACTACGGAACACGTGCTTTTGAGGGGTTTTAGAAGTCAGAAGACAGAGAAGTACCTAGAAGAAAAAAGAATATCGGGAGATTTGTAAACGGATAATCAGACTTTTCATCGTCTTCAAGTTACCAAATTTCATTATTCTGCCCAAATTAAGCCATGTACGCAAAAAAATGAGAGCAGCGAAGCAATTTGTAAAGAAACATGTGACCTACCACTAAAAGTCAAGAGATATCCAGAAACATGAGCAGTTTGTCATCCAACATTATCGAGACAATCAAACGATATCCTGCATCTACAGAGTCGGCTACCACCACCATTTGGAGCCATTCCGCCCTCTGTCTACTCCCTCACAGGGGTACCGCTGATCCGCTCAGCACAAACGAACTCAGACTTCTTACAAGATCAGATCTCCTCTGCCTTCCTATCGCCCGGCCAGCTCCGATCGCTGTTCTACCCACCTGTTATATACAAAAACATTACTTGTGAATTTGTGTCTCCAGTTCTCACCACACTTATGGGGAGAAGGCATGTTCTGGCGGGTCCCTGTCATCGTATAACCTGGTTTATGGATAGATAGATAGATCAGCTGACCAAGATAGGTTTCCAATAGTTTCAGTTTAAGATATACAGTACACATTTGAAACATCCTCATCATCATATTCCCTTTGATAAGAAACCTTTTGTTCTGATTTGCTTTATCTTAGTCATCAGTCATGTCAGTCATCAGTCATGTCTTCTGTTATGATATGTGCAAGATGTTAACACCTAACGGCATAGATCCTAGCATAAAATTGGGTATTTTGACATTTCTCAACCCTTAAGATTTACACAGCATTGCAAGACTTTTTGAACTGTTGTTCATCATTGGCCATCCAAATTCATAGCAAACATTCAACAACTTTTGCTTCACTGCACTTGCATCCGTGCACTTGCATCCGTGCACTTGCATCCGTGCACTTGCGCCCCTGCTTTTGTTACCAAGCATTTATGTTTTATTTTCATATCATTCAATTCGCTGTATCGTGATATGTCTTGAAATATTCACTCTGATGGTTCCCTTTCGCGCGCCGTCTGACTCCCCTCGCCGTCCGTTCGTGTGGTCAGGTTCAGCAGGACGAGCAGCTGGCCGAGGCGCGGTTCACTCAGCTGCGACTGGAGCGCACCGTGCGGCAGATGACGCAGCGCGGCGCCGGCGCACCCGCCGACACCGAGCAGGCGGCCGCCGCCCAGCAGCTGGTCGAGACCCGCCAGCGGCTGGTGGAGACCAGCGGCCGACTGTCGCAGGCCGAGCAGCAGCGCGCCCAGGCGCTGCAGCGCGGCGCCGACCTGAGCCGCCAGCTGTCCGGCGTGCAGCAGCAGCTGCTGACCACCCAGCAGCAGCTGGCGGCCACCGAGCAGGAGCTGCTGGCCACGCAGCAGCAGCTGGGCGCCTACCAGCAGCAGCAGGGGCAGCTGGAGGCGCAACTGGCCACCGTGCACGAGGAGGCGCAGGGGTACATGGCGCAGCTGACTGAGGCGCAGCAGCACGCCGCCATGATGGAGGAGCAGGCCGAGGCGCTGGCCAGCCAGGTACGCCACTCTCATATCGGGACCGGTTAGTACTACAGTCTGGAGAGAATAGATGCATGACCCGAAAACGCAGCCAATGCCCAGTCATTCGGTTCACATGAGATTAGAATGTCACAGGGAAGTGTGGAACTGCCAAGTAGCCGAAAAGTATAAAGACGTTTGTTGCACTTTCCGATGACAGTTGGTGACATACCAGGGAAATAAGCTAAAATTAGAGCGCTCTATTTATTGCTCCTGCCCCATGTTGAAGAGATACCCCTAAAAGCGTGATCTTTTATCGGCCCTTACGCAGCAAGGCAGTAATTCTCAGACCGGTGGATGGTATCAATAGAAAGAGAATGCGTCAAAGATTAACATGAATTAATTAAAATAACATTAAAATGTTAATTAAGCGTGGAAATGAGTCCCAAACATAAGCTAATTATTGCTCCTACCTCGGCAACGGCGCTCCCCGCAGTCAGCGGAGAAGCTAAAATAAAAGCCACCATCCTCCTCCGTAAGTCAATTTTAGAGCGGCCGAGTGGGCCGATGCGGGGCCACCAAACTGAGGTAAGACGTGGCTAGCAATTGCAAACTGCCATAGAAATCAATATCTTAAGACGTACAATATGGGATGATTACTCTGAAGCTGGAGTGAAATCTTGAGTAGATTGCAAGAAACGAAATGCATAGATTGGTTGAATTACGTACAATAGGCACAGCTCAGATGAAGCCATTTCTATGATGTTGACATTTGACATAACCCTTCCTCTCCTCACCTATGACCTAAGTGCATTGGCAGTTACCGGCATAGTTTTTGAGCACGAGTGTAATTCGCCATCGGACCGCAATGCATGTTGCTAGGCTGCTGCAATTACGACGAACATACGAATACTGCATTCATTTGTAGACGTTTGTTTTTTAGGCGGTCTTTGACGTACAAGGGGGCATACCTGTCGACAACTTGAGTTTCTCCGAATTTCAAAAACTCTCAGAATTTCAATTCCTTATGCACTGTTGTAGGTACAGCTAATGCTATGTTCACAAGTTTTCGTTTCCTCCTGTTCTAAAAAGGATGATATTTGTCGATTTCGTGCGTCGCTGATAGGAGGGTGCGTTTAATAATTAGGCCCAACGCTTTCTGCATCCGCGAGTACCTTCAAAAGGGAACAACAGCTTCCATTTATTACACTATGGGACATGTGACAAAATGACCACTGGAACACGCATGAAACGGAGCTCATATTCCTAAAAATGTCTACAATCACTTCTTTTCTGACACTATTAGCAAATACCATCTCAAGTTAGGTGGTTGACAGACAGTCAATGGAGATCTGGGGAGACTGAGTGATGCAAATTCACCACTTAACTGATAATGAGGGCCGAGGGAAGATAAACATGCAACATGCACAACTGACAACTTGACAAGTGACAAAACACTATCACTATTGCGCAGTGCACAACAAATTACAGCACCCAGCCCAAAAATGCTTTTGGTGACTAATTGCAAAACAAGTCACTAATAAATGTCTTAGTTGCAGCTGAACACTGCACAATGATCACACTGTTCACACATTGAGTGAGATGCCACAGGTGGTTTGAATCACACTTTGGTACAACTGCAAATCTGAAGTGTTGTCATGAGGTTCATGCCTCCATGATCACAGCACTTTGGTTGTGGTTGGCAATGCATAACACTTGTAGTCTGCAGAGTTCCACATGAACTGCAGACACCTCATCTGGTGGTCTTCATGTTGCTCAACTTCTTCAGGAGGCAAATGTCGACCACCCAGCGGAAGCATGGTCCTGCAGAAAAGAAAGGTAATGCATAAGGTACAAACATTATCTGCTGAAACAGCCCCTTCTGTTGGCTGTTATTAAACTTTTAACATAACATAACAACATGTATTCCATGTATATTACATTTGTTCAAGTAAAATACTGCCGGCTATTTCAAAACCAGAAAATGAAATTATATTGTGGCATAATTCACATGCTCAGCTATAAGCATCAAATAAAAATTAATTTAAAATTTGGCATATTCTATATAACACATTCATAGAATATTCTACTTCACGTCACAAGGACTCACAATCTTTCTGTTGGGTGTTTGATTGACGCATTAACTAAATTTGTCTTAGGTTTTATTATTGCAAAAAAATTCATATTGCATTATTGTATCAAAATACTGCCAGCAATAACAAAACAAGAACATGAAATGTCAATGAGCAAGCCGCCTTTCCAAAAAATGGATTACTTTGAAAAGAATTTTAGGTTCTTTTAAGGAAAAGGAGAAATGATTATCAGGTAATTATCAGAAAACCACTCAACCAGCAAGTGGCTGGGTGGTTTCACAGCAAACATCAAGCCAAAACATATACTTACATTTATCTAACAATTGAGCCATTTGACTACTACAAGGATATGTGAGCAAAATAAGATTCCAATTATCCAATGTTGACTTCCTTGCAAAGTTAATGCCTTATTTTATGAAAATGTGTCACTAGAATATGATACTTATCATCGAATATTATTTAATTTACGATTTATTTCGATCGGAACGCACATGGAGTCCCGCGCCATTTACGTCGACGATGAATATGATCGTGCTTCATGAAGAGCTAAGGGGTTTCAATGGTCTTTCAAAGCAATAATTTGATGCAAAAATTTGTAGGAAATAATATAAAGCTGGTTCAAATGGCCATCAACCATTTAAAACACCGAAAATACTCACAACTCCGTCCCGACGACCACGCAGCACCGCGCCCGCCACACTACTGGCACAATGCCAAAACTGCTGTCACATCAGAAATGTTTTTTTTCTCGATTGCAATTGTGGAATTATTTATTAAACAGAAGATGATCTTTCCGAAAAACCGACTGATTTCATACACAGATGCATGGAAAATAAAAAAATCCCGGTAAGTTTAATTGTATTGTTTTGTCGATTTTGACATGCTCCTAGTTTGCAGCCATATTTCGATATGTTCTACAGGGAGTTCAGAATTATTTCAGGACCAATCTTTTCCTCATTCATTTTCCCGTCGATCATGAAATTTTTAGAGCGGAACAATTAGTTTCCAGGCGGTCTGAGCGGTTTTCGTGAGAAGGGTGCAAAAATCGGCGTCATTTTTAGAGCCTCGACACCAGCTCAACACAGGACCCTATGGGAGACGGTGAAGTAGCGGGAGCAATAAATAGAGCGCTCTAATTTTAGCTTATTTCCCTGGAGTGTCACCGACTGATGATCACCTGCTTTCATCCGTCCGCCTGATGATCTGACCTCTCTCACATCCCCTGGTGACCTGACCTGGGCCTCGTTTCATAAAGCTCTGCCGTAACTTACACCTTTCCGTAATTCACACCCTTTCAAACTACGGAACGCAAATAAATCCGTTTCACAAAGCCACAACTGGAATTGTTTACACCTCCGTAACTAAGCACATTTGCGTAGTTACCGTAATTTATCAAGCGTCCTACAAATTACAATTTCATGTCAACACTTATTTTTTTACGATAATTTATAAAACAATTATGTTGAATTTAAATCTTAAAAATTAAGTATGAAAAAACAAAATTGATATTGATGACCATCCTTTATTAAAACAATATATTAAAAACAGCAGAAAGCCAGCTAAGCAGAAGTGCCTAACTACGAAAGTGGCGCGGCGCGGCGAATAAACAAAATTCCGATAGTGGCCACAAAAAAGCGACTGGTACAGAAGATTTGCAGTTTCTTTTTCTCATTTTGGCTGTTCTTTCTTCCTCACCGGGCTCAACATTATAAAATATATTAAAAATTAGCTTCGAATCTTCACATTAATTCAAAATCACGCAACATTTTTGTGCGTAGTTTACACCACTGATATCAAGAGCTTGATAAAATATTTGGCGTTAATTACGTCGTTTTATGAAACCCAAATGGCATCAATTGGTCCGGAATCGAGCATTCGCCGTAAATGAAGCTCCGTACTTTCGATGGCGTGAATTACTCCGGTATCCGGCTTTATGAAACCGAATTGGCATCAAATACGCCAAATCTGGCATAATTGACGGAACGCCGTAAGTAATTCCTTTTATGAAACGAGGCCCAGACCTCTGATCGGCCCCCTGGTGACCTGACCTGACCTCTGATCCGCCCCCGGTAACTCGACCTGACCCGCCCGGCTCTGACCTGACCCGCCCGGCTCTGTCGGCCAGCTGGCGCAGGCTCCGGCCGCCGACACGGAGCGACTGCATCAGCTGGAGCGGCAGCGGGATGACGAGGAGGCCAGCCGGCGGCGCGCAGAGGCCGCCCTGGAGGAGCTGCGCGCCGCCGAGCGCCGCACGCGCGGCCAATATGTCACCATGCTAAGCCGCGCCGGCAACGAGCTGCTCGATACGGCCACCAGGTGGGTACCGGTCGGAGGAGGGAGATGCCGGGGACCCCTGCTGGGTGGGTACCGGTCGGAGGAGGGAGATTGTGTGGCCGGGGTCTCTGCTGGATGGGTACCGGCCGGCAGAGGGCCACCAGGCCACCGGACGGCGCATGAGTCGCTACCGTGCAGATCTGTAAGATGAGGGTGGATATCTGGCGTTTGACCACTTATGTGGTTAGTCAGTCGATCATGTGTGTTTAGTACTTTTATGGTCTAATGTGCTGCAGCTGCGGGCTGCTTTGATGCAGACTTCAGTCAGTGACGTGCTTTGTGCCGTAGGTCATTTGGCTACGGTATTTTCACTCAAGCCTACTTTCGCCACTGAGACTCTATGCGCCTTCAGAACGTTGACCTAACCTCTGACCTGTGCTCTGACCTGTCTAGGCGATGCAACGACGCGATCCGCGGCGCCGAGCGTCTGGCGGCCGGCAGCGGCCGACCCGACTCGGCGCAGCCCACCGTCACCAAGCTGCGCCAGGCGCTGGACGCCGTGGATCAGAGCCGGTCTCAGTTCAAGGTGAGCACGGCACACCGCCCCGCGACACGGGTCGGCGGCAGGGGTCAGAAGGGGGTCCGCGGACATGGAGCACTCAGTAGTGATATTTAGACGTGACCTTTGGGTGATGTGGGCCGCGCCTCTGTAAGCAGCGACCATCGAACAATGGGAAGGACGGTGTATAACAGTACCTGCGCTTGTCTGAAGGGACCTGAAATACTACTGAAGAGTTACAATGACTCGATTATGTGACTGACATTTTTAAGACTGTGTCGCCGACAACATGCGTTTTAATATTCAGGATAGTACGGCATCTGAACGACCTCAATCATGGCATGTTTGTCCATTTTGATTGACCTGGTCATCGTTAACCATCCATTTGGCTATACGCTTCTATGTAAAAAGGTTCGTACTCTGCACGGGTGTCTCTGCACAGTGCCTTCTAACCAATGATTTTTTTTTTTCAGGAAGCTATCAAGAAGGCTTGCAAGGCTATAGCCAGTAAAGAAACAATAGATATACAATCGTTGAAACTTCCTGAAATCCCCGATATTGTTGAAACTGCCATCAACGGTCCCGCTGGTAAGTTGTTGATCGTTTATCCCTTACCCGTCAAGTTTTTTTTGTGAATGGATTTCGCGTGTTGGTTTTGCCATCCGCGGTGTCTTGGAGTGTTGGCTATGCTCTTGGCGATAGAAGCCCATGTTAAAGTTGAGGAGCTTTTTTTATTAACTCGTACGATGAGGTTCGTTGGATACCTGACTCCCCGCGGCTCCGGCAGGTCGGAAGACGGCGGCGGCCGCCTCTCAGTCCAGCGCGGCGCGGTCTGGTGCCTCCCCGCGGCCCAGCTCCCGGCCCAGCTCGGTCATCACGGTAGGTGGACTGTTGGTCGCGGCAGGAGTGGGACTGGACCTTCGCGGGACGGTTATCGGACCCGCGGGTGATGGAACGTTGGGACAGGCTGGGGGAGTGGACGGGGCGGATGGTGGCGGCGGATGGGTAGGACGTAGGCGTTTGGTGGGAAGATAGCTGGAAGTGATAGGTTCAATACCCTGTTGTTTCCTCCAGGCAGTCTATACATCGTTGCCGTGCGCAATGTCCTGATGAATCGCAGATCGCTCCTGTTATTTGCCACGAGCCATATAAATGTAACGTGGTCAATTTCCGTCTCCTTGTGATGTCAGCTGCGTCTCAAACCAATCCAGCATATTCGTAGTATCATTGCTACCCCTGACCGCCACTCGGTGGCTGGCGATAAACGTGAGGCTGTTGTCTTTTTTCACTCACGTTTTCTGTCTCCCTTCGGCAGGTGTCGAGCGGCAGCGGCAGCGAGGCCGGGAAGGTGTCCCCGGCGCCCACCCCTCCCCCAGCGGCGGCCGGGGTCAAGCCGTCCGCGGGCGTCCCGGCCGGACCGGCCACCGCCGAGCTGCGCGCGCCCAGCCCGCGGCGGGCGGTCACCCCGGCGGCGATGCAGCTGTCGGCCGCCTCCCGGCAGGTCAGTCGGGCGGAGAGGCGAGCAGATTGGCCGGGCAGGTAGCTGCTGTACTGAGACAGACAGGATACTAGGGAGACAGTAGCTTTTCGGATGGTGTCTAGTGTTTTACTGTAGTCTGTCTGCCGAGTGTATGCGCTGGGGACAGGGCTGGTACGAGTGAACTTGTCCATCCATTTGGCTGCATGTGCGGTTGTGCCTCGACTGTTCATCTGACTGTTTCCATGCCGTACTCTATTCCTGCCATATGTGTACTCAGGCGGCGCCGACCACCTTCGATGCGCTGATCAGCGAGATCGAGCGTCAGTTCGGCGGCGCGGTGCCCGGCGGTCGGGACAACATTATCCGCCAGTTCACCAACTACCGGCGCCGGCGCGGAGGCGTGCTGCGCGGCGCGGCGCGAGACCAGATTGTGGCCGAGGTGACGGCCATGATTCGCGCCGAGGCCGCCCCCGCCCCCGCCGCGGCGCCGGCGCCCTCGGCCTGGGGTCAGCCGGCCGCCAGCAAAGGTGAGCGCTGCCACTGGACCGGGCTGGTGAGGACGGACGGTAGACTGTGTCGCCGAGCTTCGAGGAAGTATCAACGCTTAGCAATGCATTGGGTGGGAGCTCGCTCCTTTTTCTTGACTGAAGTGAGGCACGTGGCGGTTGGAAAGATCTCATTTTCCTGTTGAAGCACCATGTTGAATATGTAGACTAAACATAAAGAATGGCTGAGGCGAGCTTTATGTTTAAACTTCTGAGTCATTGGAATTTGGTGATTTATATGTACTGGTTGATACCATGCCCGTGCAATTTACATATAAGCGATTCAGATTTTCGTAAATATGCGGGAATGTTTCTTCAAATTCATCGCGATATTATCAATCATTCCCAGTTCCTCCATGTCTGTCAATGTTTTCCTTTTTTAGTTTCGCTCGTCATCCCATGCCTATATGATGAACGGTCTTTGAAGGTTCGCATTCATTGCTGCCATTATGCTGATGGGTTCCTACGGACAACCCATTCCATTATCGAGGCCGTTGACCCTTGTTTATCATTAGACCTCCCCTCGCATCTGATCAGTCACGCTGCGGCGTACGATCACGTCACACGTCTGTTATGTTGCTCAGTGTAGTATACACGGCACGTCCTGTAGATGTTTGTGACTGTCAGATCAGCGGCACACCTCCTGACAGCTGTCAGTGATGCGGCGGGGGTTGTCGTGTCTCCGTGTGACGGGCAGTACCGGTCGCTGCCAGCGGCAGGCCGTGGACCGGGTTAGTGACACCGGTGTAAGGCTTGGCCACACGGCAGAGCTAGCTCATTGGATGGAGTAGTTAGTTTGATACGACGCTTTGCGACCGATCCGGCCGACCTGACCGATCGGTCTGCCCGCCGGACGGCCGACCGGGGCCGGCGATTACCTCTGCGGATGAGCTGGTTCCTGCCAACGTTCCATCTTTCCCTAACCATATCCGATCCGGCTAGCCACGAGGGCTTTGAACCCGCCCACCACTGGATTGTGGCGACCAAACAAAAATCGAGCTGTCTGTCCAAGCTTTGCTTTGTGTCCGAGTAAACCGCAATTTTGTGTCGTTATGTTCAGGTTGGATAGATCCGGAGATGGGTGACTGACCCGGGAAGTTAGCCCGCGGTGATGCGCGGACGCTGGTACTCCTAATGACCTAGCCCGTGACCTGATTTGTGACTCGTGATTCGTGAACTTATCGTGAATCAACCAGTAGCTATATTTGCTCCAGCCTGTAACATCTGCCCTAGTCTGTGACCAATGACCATTGCCCGGCCTAGCCTGTGATTATTGTTATAGCCTGTGAACATTGAACTGACCTTTGAGTTGTGATCATTGAACTGGCCTGTGACTATTCAACTGACCAGTGACCTGACCTGTGCCGCAGCGAACGGTGTGCGCCCGGAGGCGGCGGGCGGCACTCCGGCGCTGGCCAGTATACCGTCCAAAGAGGAGTGCGTCATCTGTCGCGAGTCGTACTCGACCAGTCAGGCGCGGACACTCGAGTGTGGCCACCGCTTCCACGAGCTGGTGAGTGGCGGGGGGGGGGGCGTGCTAAATGTGGCGATGGTGGTGGTATCTGACGGTTATCTGCGACTATTTTACATGGCATCACTGCGCTAGATAGTTGCTATTTTGTTGGATAGTTCACATCCTTCTGGTCTATCGGGATGCGTGCGAATATGTTTTTGTATGTTGTGAAGTGTGTACAGGAATTTCAAAAAACTCAGACCTGATGATGACAGTGTTGTCGAAAGCTTGTCTCTTTTGTTTCTCTTTGGTCAACTAAAGAACCAATACACTTTTTGGCATGTTATTGATCATTTTCACATCAATTTTGACTATCGGGATCAGTCAGGATCATGCGATTATAAAAGATAGGGGAGACATGGGGCAGGCTGCTTACTCAGTGATATGCTGGAACTGGCAAGGTAATTGGATTATGATTGATTAGTTATCAACCGGCCAGCAAATGTGAATGAAAGTGGCTTCGGAACAAGTTGCACGAACGGTTAACTCGTCCCAAATTCCTAGTACAGGTTAGCTGTTCCTTTTTATGAGTGAACTTTTCCCTGCAATTCGTCGCTAAAAAACGTCATCTTATAACTCAAGCCAGATAACCCATTAATCGAACCGGAAGTGACTGCCAGAAAACATTATCTGCATAAATCAAGCCAGGTAATCGAACCGAAAGCATCTACACCTAAATTAATTAAACCAGTTTCTGTGACCACACGCAGCTCAATGCGTGTATTTTTACACATCCATACCGGATAATTCGTGGCGAGACCGTTTTGGAGAGCGTCTTGCCAAGTGACCGGTTTGGACGGCACAGATCGCGGTGATTGCGCGAGGGACCGGTCCCGCGACTGGCGTCGGCGTCTCGTCTGTCGAGTAGCACTCCACGTGTTTGGGGGGGGGGGAGGGCTGCAGTCTGGGGCTGACAGGCAGTGATACGGTGAAAATGATAATCCCGGTGCGTAGTACTCTCACTGTGTAGCTAAGCTTTTGGTGGCTGTTGATGGGGAGTGGATGGGCTGTGGGACTCGCCCAGATCTATGTTTGTGTGAACCCGAGTCCCTGTGTGTGACCAGAGTCGCCCTGTCCGTTTGTGATCGGAGTCGGCCTATGACCTGAATCGTCCTGACCCTGAGTGTGACCTGAGTTGCCTTGTCACCATGCGTGCCACTGTGTGTGACGGCAGTCTCCCCGTGTGTGACCGCAGTCTCCCTGTGTGTGTGACGGCAGTCTCCCCGTGTGTGACGGCAGTCTCCCTGTGTGTGTGACGGCAGTCTCCCTGTGTGTGACGGCAGTCTCCCTGTGTGTGACTGCAGTCTCCCCGTGTGTGACCGCAGTCTCCCTGTGTGTGACGGCAGTCTCCCTGTGTGTGACGGCAGTCTCCCTGTGTGTGACGGCAGTCTCCCTGTGTGTGACGGCAGTCTCCCTGTGTGTGACCGCAGTCTCCCCGTGCCGGCAGTGTCTGCGCCGGTGGCTGAAGGCTCAGGGGGTGATGGCCACCTGCCCCATCTGCCGACACGCGTTCACCTCCGATACAGACTTCCCCCGTCTATAGCGACCGAAAGGCGGCGCCCTGTCGTCGCTCCCGTGACGTCACCGCTGACGACAAGGGACGTGACGTCATCATACATCGGCGGCGTGTGAGAGGGCGCACCGCACAACTCTCCAGCCCCAGTTCAGAACAGACCGTCCTCTGATGGCCCGGTGGGTCTCGGCGTGCCGCGCCTCCACAGTGCCTGGTGTGCGATTTGTAGCCAAGATCACTGATCATTTGTAAGTTAAGGTCATCTGTTTTATTAGTCCTTATGTTATTCATTTTGTACATTGGTGTCGTGTTTTATCCAGCAAAGCTGCCGGCTGGCTAGGGTACCTTTTCAGTTGTTTTTTTTTTATCGTTGGGTCGTTCTAGAGTGGCCGGTGTGCGGTGCGTTGATTCAGCAGCGCGGACGTCGGGAGGTCGTTGAGCGCGACCGTGCTCTCCCCGGGTGCAGCCGCGACAGAGCTGCAGTGCAGCCCGCCGCGCAGGTCATGTGATTCCAGGGGGCTGTGATTCCCTCTTTCGCGGAGTGATATCCAAGAGAATACACGTTGATCTTTTGTATGGATCGTTTTCATGTGGCATGTCACTTGGTGTGTTGTTACCAGACACATGTAGCACTCTGTATTTACTCATAAAACCGGCCAGAAAATCATTCGCTGTCGCGACTAAGGCCAGGGAGCGTTATCACCGGGTCCGGTAGCCCGAGAAGACGCGATATACTCTACAGCTTGGTAATAACGTGCATTTATTGTACGTGGATGTTGGTCCTTGGTCACGGCAACTCCGCCGTTCCCGGACAGGCTGCTTGTACGATACACTCGGACGGCGAGCTCCACACCGACGGGAGCAAATGACGCGTGTATGACAGCGCTAAACTACCGGCCGGTCGTGTGTATAAACATTGCTCACCGTGCGTACACACATTACAGTCTACACACCCGGTACAATCGGCACGTAGAGCGGCGCTGGCCGGTCGGAACAGACCGCTGTGCTGCGGACGGGGACCGCGCGCACAGTGACCAATCTTAGCCCCGACGGGGAATGTAGAAGATATTTGCCGAATGGTAGTTCATATCAGATCTCAAGCGGATACACACAGACCCCGAAGCTGAGCAGGCTGGCAATTGCCATTATGGAACGAACGGTAAAAAAGTTGCACTAATTCAGCACATCGCCAGAATGCCGTTGTGCAGAACGATAAAATATTTCATGCTAAGTGGAATCGGCACCCATTGTATATAAGAAAAACACGTGCTTCGATGCACCAACTCTCAACGGGGGTGCAACGTGTGACACGGGCAATAGTGTTCAAAGCACACACTTCAGTGCGGGACGAGTATTCAGTAGTAACGGTACAAATCTCAATATCACAGGTTTGTTTAGTGAGCGGCGCCTCGCGCTGGCTAGACAAGCCGCCAAAGCACACAGGATATACAAAAATAACACCAACGCTACCCTAACGTGCCCGCGCTCGGACACAAAGCTCGAGGTGCCGGCCACCCGATGTACGGCCGGCGGACGCGGCGGCGGCGGCGGGCCGCTCACATATTGTACATGCCGTCGACGAGGAAGTCCATTTTGCGGTAGTGTCTGTGCTGCCAGCTGTCGGTCACGCGCCGCACACCGTACCAGGCCAGCACGAGCAGCGACAGCACGCCGAACACGGAGCCCACGATGACGGCCGCGCGCGCCTTGGCCAGGTTGGTGAGCGCCGCGGCGCCCTCCTCCGACAGCCGGTGCGTGCCCGCCGCACCATCGCCCCCCGCCGCCGACCCGTCCCACCCCGGCGGCGGCTCCGGAACGCCCTTCCTCGGCTTGGAAGGATTCTCCAACATCTCCAAATCGGGCACTCCGGTTCTACCAGTAATTCTACCACTCCCTGATACAGTAAGATCCAACTCTGGTGCACCCTTCCTTGGCTTCGACAGGCTCTCAAGCATGTCCAAATCCGGCACCCCGGATCTACCAGCACTTTGTCCTCTCCCTGACACACTCAAACCCGGCTCTGGTGCGCCCTTTCTCGGCTTTGACAGGCTCTCGAGCATTTCCAGATCAGGCACTCCGGTTCTACCTGTACTCTTTCCGCTCCCTGATACAACCAACCCCGGCTCTGGTGCTCCCTTCCGCGGCTTGGACAGGTTTTCCAGCATTTCCAGGTCGGGAACCCCGGTCCTTCGGCTACTTTGTCCACTTCCTGACACATTCAGACCCGGCTTCGGTGCTCCCTTCCTTGGCTTGGACAGGTTTTCCAACATGTCCAAATCCGGTACACCGGTCCTTCGACTGCTCTGTCCTTGCTTGCCCACGTCCGGGGCCGGTTCAGGCGGCTGCGGCGGCGCCGGCACACCCTTCCTGGGCTTGGAGCGGCTCTCGAGCATCTCCAGCTGTGGCACGCCGTTTCGTCGACTGCTGGGCTTCCTTTCCGAGGGAGCCAGACCCGGCTCCGGCCTGTGTCGGCTGCGTCCGATCACCGCGGCTCCGTCCAGGGAGACGGGCAGCTCCCCCGCGCCGGCGACCGGCCGCTGGGCTGGGGATGGCGTGACTTCGGCGCGCGCAGGCAGGTCACGAGTGTCGAGCTCAGTCAGAGAGACAAGCTCAGTGGCTGTTGTGCCTGTCAAGGCTGGAGATCCTGGCTCAGAGGGGGTGGAGAGGGCTGGTGACTTCTCAGATGGTTCTTCTAGGGTGACTTTTGCCTGCCCAGTACCATAAATGGGCCTCTGGCTTTGCTTGTTGGTAGATCCAGCCTCTGAAGTATCAGCGTTTTCTGCCAGCTCTGATGGTGATTGGTCACCTCCCTGCTCAGGTAATGGATTTTGTATGTCTCCCTGACTTAGCAGGTTCACATCTGTCAGAGGCAGCTGTACTTTACCACCAGCTGCTGCAGCTTCAACATTGTGACCTGCTGGTTCATTTGCTAGGCTGTTTGAGGACTCCTCACTGGCTGATAATGGCAGGGCCAGAACAGAAACATCCTCTCCGTCTCGACCTGACTGCCTCACAAAATACTTGGTCCGGACTGGTGAGGGGGACTGGTCTGGTGTAGCACTTTCTACTGATATCCATGAAGAGCTCCCAGCAAATGCAATGAGGCAGAGAGTGATGAACAACATAATATTTTCCCTGCAAGGGGAGAAAAGCTTGTGAATATATGGTAATCAGTTGGGTCAAAAAAACCTCATATGTGAAATATTATCTATAAGACACTGAGTGATACAAACATCCAGCAATCAGAATGCAGCTTGCTGATAACGGAATTTCCAAACATCTCAACATTCACCTAACCAAAAAAGGAACGGATCCTTTATTTCTGGAAGCAATATTAATGTTAATTATGATATTGCCATCACAAATATAAGAGAAAATGACCCATGGAATCATAAGCTGTGAAGCCACTCAGAAATTGAAGTGCAAATGAGTCCTTTTCATTTTGAGCCAGAACACTGAGGAGTGAGCTTATGCTTAAAGTTTAAAGAAAAAATGAAATACACTATAGTAAAGACCACACGGGCACAGCATAACAAGTTAAACTTTATTTATTCTTCAGTTCTTCTGGTTGGATTCCAATTCCGCAATGATGCAAAATTAGTATGCAGCATTGGTAGGTAAGGTGGTATTCTAATTTGAAATTTCTATTACATTTATAAGCTACCACACAAGCACCATAGAAAATTGAATGCGGCTAAAATACAACCAAACTGATAACAGCAGGGTCATCCCACAATCCACATACCAATCAATAATTTATTTAACAAGTAATTTTTTTCACCAATGTCCCTTCTTCGCTAGTTTCGCAACAAAGGTAAATAAACTTAAGAAAGTCAAGGATTGCCGAATGATGGAGTAATTTAGAATGAAGCTAACTTTAAATTATGACGTAATTGGTCCAATTATTTTTATTTTCCCCTCTGAAATGGCAAACAGCACAGCCAAAGGTTATCGACATAAGGCGCTGGCTCTGCCACTGGCACTCTGTAGGACTCTGTATGCGCACGTCAGACGCAGGCAAAGACCAGGGTAGCAAAGACTACATTCGGATATATCTTCTATGATCCAGTGACCTGCAGGCTGCAGCCGGACGGTGATCGAACAGTTGCCGGTTCCGTGCACGGCCGCATCATGGTCAATAAAGTCCATATTTATAGTCACCGTGACTAAAGTATGAACTCCTACACTGAGAGATCAGTCTGGCCGACCCGAGTTTGAAGCAGCGGTCAACTGGCAGCGTTCCGAGTGGAAGCTCCAATTGTACCGTCGTATTGAGCTTTTACTTTTGTACCGTGCTCAGTGCTGTTGAGCATGAGTGCTTGGTTTCGGGAGTCTCTGACGATTACCTAAAACACATAAATATCGGCAAAACTTCAATAATATCGTCTCTTACAAAGATCCACGGAATCATAGATATCCTGGAATAGTTCACCATTAGCGTGACTGTCGGTTGAAGGGGGAGGGGCAATACCTACCTACATCATGGCGGCTATAACTTATATAGAGTCGCTGGTAAGGAACCAGCGCCGGTCAGCCGTATAGAGCGTCAGCAGATGATAAGCGCGTGGGGGGCAATAGTCTTCGACTCGGCCAATGTCCCATTTGTGGGAGGGGACTTGATCTCCAAAAGACCATATGCTCTGCAAGCTGCATGTTAGAGTTTCAATCTTCAGATGATTCCCGGACCCGGTCGCTGTAATAAGCAAAAAATGCGCAATTTCAAATTCATGTCTCTTGGACCAGATTTTATCGCATTGCAAAGCCTGCGACGCATATGCGACATGAAGAACCCACGGCGCTCTCCTGTCGCCTGTCAATGACTCAATGTCAGTCTTCAGTCGTCACGCGTCACTAGGCAGATGACTGTGACAGTTATATGCTGATTGGAAGGCGGTACATGAAATACCTCTTTTCCTTTAGAGATGGGGGAGGGCGTTTCCCACTTCTGACCTCCGGACCTGCTCATTTCTGTTGCAAATCCTCATACAGCCACTGCAACTGCAGAATCCGGCTATCTCGGCGCCCTGTAGGATACTAATTATACCAGCCCCGCCAGCTGGGGGTCGCCCGGGAAAGCCCATAGCTGTTGCGGCCGCGCTGAGCTGCCGGAGCCGCCGGAGCCGGCGGGGGCGGCGGGCGCGCCTCTCCCGGCGTCCCGCTGCTCTCCCGGCTCATCAGTCATCGTCAGTCAGTCAGCCGGCGCCTTACCGGGCGGCTGAATAGGCGGAGAGGCCCAGTTCCGCGTGCAGACTGCAGGCCCTGTTTTGCAGGGCGGTCACGGTCGGCCGAGCCAGGTCAGCCCGGGTCATCTGGGTGGAGGCGGACATGACCAGCCGAATTCGTCACTGGGCACCGTTACCTGCTGCCTGCAGTGCCCCTCCCGCGCTACAGTCCCCTATCAGATTCCAATCAGTCAGCCACCAGTCAGCGGGCCGCCGACCGGTGACCGGTCTCGGTCCGGTGACCGGTCAGTCGCGTTTGTGCCGCTCCGGGCGTGCACGCGCGACATTGGCCGCTGCACATGATCCGACATACTCGGAGGAGGATGAGCGGCCGGACCGGACCGGCGCGGGCGGACGGCGCGGCGCCGAGTCATTGGCCGACGAGAGCGGGTCGTCTCTCGGCTGCCGGCCGGCGGTGGGAGGGTGCAGCTGAGCAGCCCGCCGCAGTGCCGGTGCACGGCCGCTGCCGGTGACACGATGGCGACCCGCTGGCTGTGGCGCTCGCTCGCCGCGGTGTGTGTGCTGTCTGTGCCGGTCGCCGCTGAGGTGTCGCTCTCTGAGACGTCGGTCCAGGTTGGGTCTCCGACCTCTAGCGCTGAGAGGACTACGAGCAGTGCAGAGAGGCTCTTGGTGCCGCCGCTGACACCGGCGCACCTGCTGCGCAGTCCCCAACTGCGGTTCTCTGAGGTCGCCGAGTCGGCCGTCGGTCAGGAGAGTGAGACGTTCGTCGGTGGTGGGTCGGGCTCGGGCTCGGAGCGGTTCGACGTGGGTCCGGCGCTGACGCCGCGCGATTTCTCCGTCGGCGAGGAGCTGCAGCTGTCGGCCATGTCGGTGCCGCTGCTGGCCGGCACCACCGACCCCGTGGAACTCGCCGGGGAGTTCGAGGGCGACATCGCGCTCACAGAGGAGGACCGGCAGGCGGTGACCAACGGCGCCGTGCCCGGCCAGCGCACCTGGCCAGGAAACGCCATCCGGTACGTCATCGCGTCCGGCTTCAGCCAGACCGAGCGAGGCGTCATCGCCGCCGCATTCCGCGAGCTCGAGCGGCGCACGTGCGTCGGGGTCCACCCGGTGCCGCCCGGCACCCCGACCGGCGACTTTGTGCACATCGTGCGCGGCCGCGGCTGCAGCAGCGCCGTCGGACGGCTGGGTGGTAACCAGACGCTGTCTCTGTCTGAGGGCTGCTTCACGCGCGGCGTGGTGCTGCACCAGCTACTCCACGCCGCCGGCCTGTGGCACGAGCAGAGCCGGCCCGATCGCTACCAGTACGTGAACGTGCTGGGCGAAAACGTGGCCGCCGGTCGACTCCTCGACCTTCTGACGTACGCGCGTGTGCCCTCACCGCCGACTCCGACCTACCAGCGCCGCTCGCTGATGCACCTGAGCCGGTGGGCGTTCTCGGTGGACCGCAGCCGGCCCACGCTGGAGTCGACGGCCGATCCCACCGAGCCGCTAGGCCAGCGGGACGGCCTGACGGTGGGGGACGCCGTGGCCGTGAACCTGCTGTACGGCTGCGCGGACGGCACGGCACCGCCGCTGCCCGCACCGCTCGGTGCCGACGCCGACTGTGAGGATCAGAACGAGCACTGCGACTACTGGGCGCGCATCGGCGAGTGCGCCCGAAACCCCGGCTACATGAACGAGTTCTGCGCCAGGGCGTGCAACCAGTGCGCAGGTGAGTCAGGGGTACCAAAATGCCCCAAAGTCAGGAGGCCTGAACGTGTTTATTGCGAATAAATGCGTAAAGAAGGTAAAATGAGCTGGATACCTATGTTTGAATCGAGTCAAAGTTGACCAATTACCGCTCGCTATCTACATAGGATTACTTGTTCCTGTGCATTGGATTCGACAGCTGCCGTACTCTTGACCACTCCGGCAAGCTACAAGATAACGTCTATTCATAGACCAAAGTGCGGTATACCAGCTGTATGTCAATGAGATATTACATGCGTTAAGGCATGTTCCGCAGTGCACGCTGCACGCTTATGTGGACACTGCAGGCACCATGACCTCAGCACCAAACCGGCATTAAAATTGACAGGTGCACATGTCGTGCAGATGTCTGACCATACAAAGAAATAACTTATCTCGTATGCACGTATTGTCCCGTGTAACTGACTTCTCAAAGCATCGCCAAATCCTGACCGAACATTCCATGGCATTGTAGTTTATCGTAAAGCATGCCGCCACTCGATAAGCATGGCATGGTTTATGAGCTTCCTGCGGTGCAGCTACTATAATGCAGTCACGTTTTCCTCAGTAATCCTCCATAAGCGTCGTCCGAATTATCAAGATATAAGGAAGAACATTCTCAGAAATGACATTACCCGGGGTCAGTATTAATATTTCATGCTGCAATGCTTTCCGTAGAGAGAAATAAATCGCACTTATATTGGAAATAAACGTTTATTTGTTAATACGGCATACTGAAGCCAGCCGTAGCGTTTACCCGTCGTATCGTTTCCAATATATATTAGACTAAAGATATAAATATAATGATTTATGATTCAGATGACCGTTTATCCGAAAACTGGTGAATAACGGTATACTTGTATAACGGTGTACTTGTTCCTCCCCCAGCTATGGAAAGGTCATGATAAAGGTTCTGCACGCGGCAGCACCCAAAATCAGACTGTCAACCGTTAGCTACCCGTTCACCTAACGCTCATGTTTGCTAATCTTCATACCTAATTGTCTGTGTGTGTGTGTGTGCGGGCAGGCTCGAGCTGCGAGGACCTGGACCGCCATTGTCGGATGTGGGCGGCGCTGGATCGCTGCGAGCGAGAGCTCTCCTACATGCACGTGTACTGCCGGCGCGCCTGCGAGCTGTGCCAGCGCCAGCAGCCGCGGCCGGCTGACGAGCGGTGCCGCGACCGGGTAGACTCGTGTCCTTTCTGGGCGCGCCGCGGCCACTGCCACCAGTTCGACCATTACATGAGGGCGCACTGCAGCCGGTCCTGCGGCTTCTGTCGATAGACCTTGACAGGGGTTATCGTCAGTAGGACCGGAGACGGTGAGTCAGGTCTGATTGGCGACTGTAGAGTGCGGCAGGAATGATACGGGACTGCGGACCGTTTAAGTTTGTTGTTTTGTTACGGTTTCCGTGCTATGTGTGTGTGTATGTGTGTGACGACTGACGACGACTGGCGATACAGGGCCTTCGTAAGGTGTGGCTGTTGTGTACATATCGTGAGCGTGGGTAGACTTTTTTACCTTGTCTTGCTGCTTGCTGCATCAGCGGGGCGCTGCCATTATCGAGCCGTACCTACATGCTTCGTTCGTGAAGGTATCTGTTATTTATTTGGTCATTTAATGTGTGCATGATTTGTGACAGGTTTGATTTTACTTATGAAGTACCTAATAATGTGTTAATTACTGTTATTGTCATTGTTATAGCAGTCAACAGTGAACGCAAATACCCAGATTGATTACATTTAGTCTACTTGCGTAGGCCGTAGACGGTTTTGTTGCTTGTAGTTTACGGGGATATTGCAAAATACGATGTTCATGAAAATAAAAGTCAATGCAAATAATCTCTAAGTGCCACAAACTTTGGACCAGTCAGAACTTTGAACCTCGTGTTGTCCATACCGCCGGTCAATCTCGCTAACAGTCATGGCCTGTATGGCTTCCTCGAGCTTGACATTGGTATTGGTAGGCACCAAAATATCTGTTGTTCTGGGAAGGTCGTCAAATCATCCACCACCAAATGCGTACCTAACCTAGTGCCGCTAAGCACTGGAAAGTAACTTGATAGCTTGGTTACTGATGCTGCGCCTATACTTTGGGAGTGGGACCAATCCACAACCATTTTCAATTCTCTGCAGTCCCTAGACGTTAACAGGTTCGTGGTTTCCACCGCTATGTTCCGTTTCGCCAGAGGTATTTTCCCGCTGCGTCAATCACCGCAAGCACTTATAATTCTGTCACTAGATGGCGCTACGATCCAGCGCCTGAAGGTATGCTGTACCGCAGTACACACAGTTTCGCTGGTCTTTATTTCCGCGTGTGACTTTGTGGTGCTGGCGGTGATGGACACTTGATTGAAAGCTAAATTATCATTATCCCACTTCTACGAACGCACTTCGTATTTATACAAAGTGTCTTCTGCCTTATCCAGTCTGTGACTTCAATCGGCACGGGGCACCGCTGTCACAGTCTGATTCACATAGGTAGGCATCCGTACTTGCATTCGTCTTTTTATTTTAAATGCGTGACCCCAGCACTGGGGTCATTAAAGACCAAATCGATTACCTAAAAGGTCCTGACATGGTATAGGATGCACCATTGCACCATTCAACATTGAGAGTCGTGCTTTGGGCGATGGATGAACGAAATGAACATTGTCACACGAGGAATATCACTCGCACCGTTGTACAATATGTCCCGTGCGGAAATATTTTGAACAATGAGACCATGTACTTAGTTCATCAAACAACAAACACATAAACTCTCGCACAATGACAGAACCGTAAGAACAGCTGAATACACATATTAGACAAATGTAATGCTCATTGCTTACACACTCATATCTGACACAAGGACTAGTTAATCGACTTTGCCATGCAATCATATCTTTCAAAATACATCTCAATCTCACACGATCACACCTTTGCCACTTCAACTGCCACATACATCCGGGGTACCAAGATCTTATCATAGGCATTATAGCTACCACGTTAATAGCTTGTCCTTTCGCAGCTTGAAAAAGCTGCCTGGTAAGAGCTAATAAGTAGAAGTGGTCTCGTTGTTTGTTTTTATCATAATGAGATGATGATACTCCCTTTCTGTCTCATAGTTTTGTTCGTTTAAGCGCTTGGGGTCTGTTGAGACCACTTCAGACCCATGTGAAAATGGAATAGGAGTGAGACGTTGGACTGAGTTGACCGTGGAGTGTGGACTGATGCGTCACAGCAGCTCGGCTCACTCCGTTGGGACGGGAGTGTTCGACCCGGAGGATTATGTGGATGCAGCTTTTGGTGTGCTCTCTACTAGTTGTCTGGTGGGGCGACCGGTAGCCTGGACAGGGAAGCATGAGCAAGGAGAGGGGAAGAATGATCACCAGTAACTTTATTCCTGGTTCATATGGCGCTCCTCGGAGCGCCTCAGCTTGAGATTTATGTAATACGGCTCGATCTGTTCGATCAGTTGCTGTGGACACTCGCTATTGTGGCATTAGGGGAGCCTATCACACATCCCACTCACCCTGCCTGCAGTGATATGACCGGCCACCGCAGGGCAGCCACAGCTCCAGTCCGGTGCAGGAGGCCCGGGGGCCGCGAGCGGGAGTCGACCAGGGACCAGTGCAGGGCTCAGCGGCGACGGCGGGGTGCGCGGGCGGCCCAGGCGGCAGCACTGAGGTGCCGCTAGTGGGAGCAGTGAGCGCCCCGCCGCCGCTGGGTCCCTGGTGGATCGTCCTCGTGACGCTCCGCCGGGCCTCCGCACTAGAACGGAAGCTGAAGGATGGGTAGGTGATGCCACTTGAGCCCATCGGACTCTACGCAGATGCGAGGAGATCCAGATATAGCCCTCTTACTAGGAGTTATACCAGCGAGCAAGAGAGTTTGTGTGAGCTGGCGAGTACGATGGTGAGGACAAAAGTCGAGTGGAAATCAGCAACTCGGCAGCTCATTGCTGATCATGGAGCTTAGTACGATCAGAACACGACACTCACAGTTTGATGAATGATCAGAGCGGCTTGGTCGATCCCATGCGGCTGTGATACTTGAGGTTGAAACGGTATCTTACATGAGCACCTATTCCGAACATGAACAGTTCGTAAGTTCGTAAGACGAATGAACACTTCGCAAAATTGACGAAAAACACGTTAAAATCACCACTGCCTTTGTCACATCCACCGCTGAGCTGGTCACTCAGTCTCAGAGCCAGTTCTTTACACGGGGCAATACCCGATCCAGGAGCGGGCTCCATCGCCTCCCCGGGCCCGGCCCGGTCAGATCCAGACCACCTCGTGCTGTATCACCGTCTCGGTGGTGCCGTCGCCGAAGAACACGCCGGCGCCGCGTTTGACGCTCTCGCTCAGTTCGAGTTTCTCGAGCCGCTCGAGGAGGCCGTCGAGGCTGCGCGCCGCCGGCAGCGGGCGCGCCGCTCCGTCCGGCCCCCGGGCGCACCCTCAGCTGGCCTCGGGAGCCGACGGCAGCCCGTTGGCGGCCGCCGACGGCACCGACGCCACGGCCGCCGTCAGCTGGCTTAGGTGAGAGGTGGCCGTCGGCAGCTGGTGAGAGCGCGTGAACCGCATCGCGCCGCGGCCCGTGCAGCTCTGCGGCAGAAGGGACGGTTACAGTAACAGCTCTGCCGGGACTGTTAGACCGCAGCTCCTCTGCGGTGGGAGGGACGGTCAGAGCAGCTAGTCCCGTCACAAACAGGGAGAACAACTGCAGCTCCGGGCCGGCGTGGCGTATATAGAACAGCTCAGAGACTGCCGGAGCACTAATCATAGAGGCTTCTTGTGACCGACCGTCAAAGCATTTTTAGATAAGCGATGCTGTGATAGAGTAGCATACAATGACGAAGAATAACAGATGTAACCGTTTCTGGTTATAGCACCCGATTATGCCGAACTGAGTTGAACCACTTTTTCAGTGACCACAACGGTTCACGATTTGTCGTATGACAATAATTTCAGCTCAAGTAGCAGCTAAACGGAATAGTAATAGGTCTTTAAGTGGTTTCTTGTAAATCTCTGGCATTAATGAAGATAAATGACGAAGTGACCACACATAGATCAAACATTACGCGTAAAATATGGAAAGATTGGCTCGAAGCTTCGGCGACGGACGATTATATTGATGGTATAGAAGTAAATAAATAAACAGGAAAATAAAATAAGACTCCGGTTGTAAATTCATGACATCAATTTATTCCTGTCTTGACCAGCAAGCAAATGTGTCACGTAATCATCGACATATAGCCATAGATAGCGATGAACAGCCGAAGAAGAGATTAATGGGTAAACGGTTTGACAGAATGCATGATGAATGCATGCCATGAAATAAATGCATGGCAGACATGGCTCAAACAGCGTAACAGTCTATCATGTGAATAATAGCCGAATTAACGGCCACATAAATATTTATTATTGGTAGGTGTCGATAAATTCCCTAAATATTGAAATAACTTCTTCTTCTTTGTCCTACGGGCTATTCGGAAAGACATGGCTTTGGCTATTAGTCATTGGCACATTAAAACGTACCATTAACGGCACAACTGAATGAAAATGTATGACTGTTTATTTATGATTTGTACACCAATTAATGCTATTTAGCCGTTTATAACAGATATATGCAGGAACACTTGCTTCGGGACCACATCTTCGAACAGCTTATCTGTTTTCCATTCATTTAGAGGAACTCGGCAGGATCACACACGGGAGGGGGCCGGCCGGCAGAGCCTTGCTGTCCACTGACCTGGTTGTTGGTGCCCAGCTGCCGTACGTTCTTGTACGGCTGGCACAGCACGATGTACAGCTTGGGCATGAAGAGGCAGAGCAGTGCCACTGTGGCGCTGATATTGACGCAGATACACAGACTGGCCAGCTGGACCTGCCGAGCAGAACGGCAGACTGTCAAAAAGGGATTGTACGAAACACCATGCGCGGTAAATTTAGATTCTTAGATAGACGGCGTTCGGAAGATAAGCGTATCATGCAAAAGGGTAAATAGTTACGCTACGGAATGTCGAATTGTATTTTGGAACGAACAGAAAGGTGGGGTTTATAGTGAAAAAATCGCTTCCATTTCTTCAGACCATTATCAAATGACATTTCAGGTTCCAAAATTACAAGCCAATTGGTTGCAACGTCGTTGTTTATAATTCTTAGAATCATATCGTAGTATCATTATCATAGTTATCATCCTAAGAAGAATCGGGGCACATAACTATCTGGGCAAACAAGGCTATCACGTGAACCAAAATGAATCAAACAGACTGGGCGTAAATTTACCAAACTGACAACTAAATCGACCGTTCACGAACGTTTATCGCGCATAATAAACCCGAGTCGATAATTTGGGTGGAACGGATTAAAGAGGTAATCAATCGGGCGTCCCGCTAAGCGGCGGAGCCTCCCGATAAAGACCGGACTGTACCATTAAGGAAAAATTTTGATGGCCAATATAAAAATTACTGGCTAAGTTTTACTCTTCCCGGAGCATGAAATAGCCTTTCTTCTCTTTAAACGGCCAAAACCGGGCAACTATGGGCTATAGGCTGCTCTATAGTGTTCTATGTAGGTGGCTGCCTGTATCCATGCTACCCTTCCTCCGCTCAGTGTTTGCCACCCATCACCCAAAACCACCTTGTACTCATTCCGCGTCGTCACGTAGATGGGCACGAAGGCCAGCCACACGATGCACGTGCTGTACATGGTAAAACCGATGTACTTGGCCTCGTTGAAGTTCTCGGGTATCTTGCGCGTCTTGAAGGCGTACCAGGTGCAGAGTATGATGAGCACCATGTTGTAGCCTAGGGAGACCACCTGCGAGAGACTGCTGATGCCACAGGTGAGGACGGCCGTCCGCCGGTCCGGGTAGACCTCCTTGGTGGAGGGAGGCTCTAGGATCAGCCAGATGATGATGCCGATCAGCTGCACTGAGACCAGGCCTGCGGGAGAAGGGGTGGACGATGTACTGAGGGAGCAGATGCACGGAGTGGTGCCGTCAGGGGGGCGGTATAAGGGCAGCTCAGTGTCGTTGGAGAGACATCCGGACCGTGTGGTACCGCATAGAGACAGAGAGACCACACGTGAGGCCGCCGGAGAGGGAGCCGGGTATATTGCAGCGGCATCTGCGGTGGCAGCGGCTGAAGTATGCCGTGTTTGTTTGATTCATGACTGGACATTATTCAGAGGTCACCATTTGCGGCGCTGGTGCTCTGATGGTGACAGAGGGTGACCGAGTGGTGCCGCTCCCCGGTCGTAGGTCAGGAGGGCGGGGGGGCGGCGCCGCGGGCCGCCGAGCTGACGAACTGCGGCCAAGTTCCGCCGCCGCCCCGTAACTCGGCCGTCGGCTAACAGAGCGCTCCGCGCGTCCGACATCAGTCCGAATTCACACGGAAATGACGCAACCGGCCCGCCCTCCTTATGGATGGCTCGTGGCGGACAGTGCTAGTCTCTGGGTGGCATGAGTGTTTGTTCTCCGGAGTCGGAAGCGGGTCAGCGGGTCGGAGGGAAAAAGACGTCGAAACGGTGACAGAATGAGGTACTAAACGTAGTATGTAGGCATTGTCGACGTAGATAACTTCTCATAGTTTAGAGTCTAAATTATAGTGAACGTTAAGTTAAACCGAACATAATTTTGCGGTGCATGTCGATGCAAATTCATATGCATTGATTGACTGATTTTTTTTTTTTGTTGTTGGTGGGTTAGGACTTGGGGCTGACAAGACCATTTCAGAGCTGGAAGGGTGATAGGAATTAGGGGGAGACATTGGTCCGGACTCCGGGCAGACACCCTAGAGAGTCGCCGGGGCTGAGCCCGTCCGAGGCCCTGTTTCACCGGTGATAGCAGCACGCTGCTTTTACACGTGTCAAATTGTGTTTCCATGGAAACATCAACAGGCCCATTGCTCCAACACTACCACAAGTGTGACGTCAGCTCGCGCAATTTGATAGCAGCGTGGTAGCAGCGTCCCATGAAACACCGACCAGCCGACCAGCCCCCCAAGCACTCTCTGCACCCGGCTACGGGGTGCGCTCCCTCGGGAGCTGCGGTGCCGCTCTAAGGGAGCAGCCCGCATGAGATAAAGGTGCCTGTCCAGCCCGTAGTGGGGGTTGCGGCGTGAAGGAGAAGGATTTCGGTATCCTGAGGATGGAAACGACGGAAAGGAGACCGACTGATATGCATTATACAGAGCACCCAAGTGTGGGTCGACACAGCTCCGTTTCCAGCCATCTATTTCGGTGGTAGAGACAGGCACTATGACAGGCTTTCTATGTGATGAGCCCGGCGTCCCACTGTACCTGACGCGCTCAGGTGGGCTCATATACGGATGTCTCGCGCACACCGCAACGCCCGTGACACCTGACGTACGACTCCGGCCGCGCCGGGCGTCACCCGTCCCGTCGGCAGCGGTATGTAAGATAGAGTTCCACATTGTCGATTCAGACGTCAAGCTCCGGGAACAGCGGCCGCGGCCCGCAGACTTCAGAGACGAGCTGCAGAGCGCCGCTGGCGGCGGACGAGACGAGACGCACGGCTCGACGCTCAAAGGCCGCGAGTGGTAGTGCCAATTTGGGAGGGCCGCTCCTCGGACCAGTCGGGAGGTGTTGCTGACTGCGGTCGTCAGACTCAATACTGCTGAATTCAGCGGCTCGTTTGAGAAGTAAATTTGGGCCAATGTGACGTAAGATGGGCGTCAGGCATGCCTTGTCGCCTTTTTACAGGCAGCATGAACTGAATGCGGGATCGCACGTGCACGGAACGTGAGCTCGGCACATGTAAATTTAAGTAGATAGATGCCCTTAGCGGCAGGTATTGTATGTATAGTGCCCTGCGGATCTGACTAGGTCACTTAGACGAGCTGGCACGGGTGACTGCCAGGATGTTGCACAATCATGAAATATCATGGGAAACACGAAGTTTTATGTGGATTTCGTCATCTTTGTTATGATAAATGCTGCCCGAGTGTCCGAATAATTCTCAATGAGATTTGATGATAAATGTTCATTTACAAAGTACGTAAATCATCCTCATGAATGCCAGGTACGCTCGTAAATATCTCGTTTCATTCATTCTTCTCTTACATGTGCAGATTCTCATGGTACATAAAAAGGCAGCGAAGCAGTGTAACATAACAATTACAATAAGTAAAATGTTTTGTACTCACCCAAGCATATCACAATTTGCGACTTTGGAGACGTGTACGATGGCCTTTTTATTGTTTTCGTTCCCATATTGAAGATCCGAGAAATCCTGAAAAAGACGGTTATGCCTAATTTGTAAAGGCATTTGACAGCATATGGTCCGCTCAGGTTCATAATAAATGTCGTACGCTAAATAAGTACCAGCCTAAAACTATTCTAATCAACTGATACACCATTGTGATGTTGAGTAGCGGCAGGGAACGCGCTAACTAGCTCCGTCGACATACACGTCCATCCGCAGACTGGGACGGCATAGCAGACCCGGGACGGCCAAAGTTTGCGGATGACTGTAGGCCGAAATTAGGGCCCATTGTGGGCCAAACGACTGCGACAGCCGGCGGATCGACCCCTGGCGCGGCGGGGCAGGAGACGAGAGCAGGGCGCGGCAGAGCTGGCGACGGGCTCAGATAGGAGCCGGCACGTATAGGTACTGATACAAACAGGGGGCACGCAAACAGAGTCGTAAAACTCGGCACGGCGCCGACTCGGTCTAATCTGAATGCTACTATCTGGGGTGGTGGCAGGCAACCCTTGACGCTGAAGTTGTTTTTATGTTGGTGGATGTCATTGCCAACAGGATCGCTATTATATCATGCTGAAATTGCCGTGTTTACCTGAGCGCCTTCCCATTGAATGGATGTTGTGTAATATGAGCATATAACGGCGCCTCGAAGTCCCGCCTCAGGCCGTCCCAGCCTCACCTGTTGGTTTTGGTGAGCAGCGCGCTGTAGCAGATGTTCAGACACAGGCCCAGTCCGATCCTGAGCAGCGCACACGACACCACCGACGGCTTGGCCAGCAGCACGAACGGCATCGCGTAGCAGACGGCGATGCCGCCCAGCAGCACGAAGCACAGCTCGCGGCCGGAGGCCTTCACCACGGGCGTCTGGTTGAAGCGCAGGAACACGGCGGCGGTGAGCAGGGTGGCCGCCAGGCCGAGGCTGCTGAAGACGAGCGGGACCAGCGCCCAGCCGGAGCGCCAGGCCAGGTGCTCGGCCCGCAGCCGGTAGCACGAGCGGTAGTCGGCCGTCGGCAGGTGGCCCAGCGGACACTCCACGCACGTGTCGTTGTCGATACGGTCGCCCTCCGGACATTTGACGCAGCTCCAGCAGCACGCGTTCTGCCGGCGCGTGAGTGGGAGGTCATGGAATATGTTTCGGTTTATCGGCTTGAATGGTGTGTTCTCGTATCGCACGTCCATGCATGAGTGCCTACACCAGCGCATTTGGTACTTGTGCATGGCTAAAAAAATCGAAGTGACCGAATGACATGGTCTATGATGACTCGAGACTAACGATAATCATAGCACTCTGATATGATAACGCTTACGCACGCCTGATTGATCGATTCAAAAGTTATCTGGTGTTATAGAACAGCTGACTATCGCACACATGCGCAAACTCCTCAGCTCGCCTGCTACTCGATCAACTACACCGATCTGGATCGGGATGACCGATCGGGTAGTGTCCCACGCAGTTCCGCTTGACGAGAATAAAACTCGAAACCGATGTAAATCTCGAGTCGTGCAATCATCGCACTCAGTCAGGCACAAGCAGAGTGATTGTTCTAAATCGCACAAAACCGAGATTATTTCGACCAAATTCGGCCACGATCTCCGTTTGATTTTGACGGCCGAATGTTTCCAATCAGGAACTGACACTGCGATTTCAGCGCATAATCCGAAACGGTCTCCCACGCGAAGCCTCGACTGGCAGTCGATTCGCGATCGGCAGAGAAATCAAACGAAATATGCAGATTAAACGTTACGAATCCCCAGCTAACGCAGCCTAGCAACCGCATCAGGGCTGCGTGAAAACGACACATCCGCATAACAGCATAAAAACACCATCCAGCCTCTAAATACCCAACAAAATAACTCTGATCTTTATGTTGTAAATCTGATACCTACTAAAAACAGCAATCTATGTAAATTGAATTGAGAGCTACACATTAACTCCAGGCTACTATAGCACCCAAAAAGAGAACCTCGTTTAGGGTTCATCGAGTCAGTTCTGTGAAAAATAGCATCCCGCACGCGAGGACAAACCAGCCATTCGCCGCGCCGTTCGTACCTGGAAGTTGCGTATCATGCCCCGCGGGCACGGCCGGCTGCAGATGGACGGGGGAATCTGACTCGTTCCTCCTGGCCACTGCAGAGACGAAGTGCTGATGTTGCTCTGACTGCAAACAGACAAACACGAAACGCGTCCCATCGGCGGACAAAGTGTTTGCAATATCTGCCTGAGTGTCTTGGGTCTTACGATGTTTTAGGGCTGTCGAAAGACTAATATTCCTTTGATGAATGAGCCGGGAAAGCAATAACAGGTACTAGAAGCAAAATAAATGAAAACGGCTGCGGCAGCCTAACACACCGACTAAATGGTATACTAGCTAGCCCTACATTACATGTTAGAAGTGCAAGTGAGCAGCGAATTCCGTACCTATATAGTTAAATGCGTCGAAGAAAACACATCTCTGGACGGAAAAGCGCTAGCAATTCGTGACGGTGGGATGTTTGAACATCATTACTGACACACCATGCCTTCTTCCGTAAAGATCAGCTTAGTTAATATCCCTTCCAAAGTTAACAAAGTCCATCGTTATGATTAATTTTTACGGGTTAGAAAGTGTAATTCGTCCGACGCAAATTACAAAACATTGGCGAATTAAGAAATTAAGATGAGAAACGCAATAAAAACATCAATTCTAAAAAGACGTAATAATTTTCACGCACAAACACTGATAAAATGCATGATCTTTCATGCAAATGGCCCGCGCTGCTGATTGGTTCCAGCTTAGCATTGCAATGCGCCACTCAATTAAACTAATCGTCATTGAAAATGTCAGGGTTAGCCTCCGGACAATCATATGAAATGCGCAGATAAAAATAATCGTCTTTACCCTCCAACGGCTCGGCACGCCAAATGTAGGTAAAATGACGAACGATGAACTATTGTAGCAAACTTTTCATGGTTATCAGCACGGGCGTAGGAACGTCATGAAAAGTGGGTGGGCCACCCTGTCAAGGGGCCTCCTTTTCCAGGGGGCCTCCTATTTTCAGGGGCCTCCAACTTTTGCCTCATCCTGCTGGCTGCTTTCAAGTACCTATGACCTCCAAATCTAGCTTCTGAGATCGGGCAGATGTACCCAGGGGCGTAACCGCTAAAGCGAACAGTGCGGAAAGTCCGCACCATTTTTAAAACTTATTCCCCCTCCGATTTTTTTTAGAATCTATTTGCCGCAAACGGCGCATGACCCCTGGCCCTGAAAACCCTTACACAAATGTCTTCCTCGTTTCCCAGGTGCCCCCATTAGCTTCATAGGCGCCCTCTTTGGCATATAAGCGCCCTATGTATAGTCATCAGAGACATCCCTATATGTCCCACAGTCGCCCCGTTGTCGCACAATGTGCGCTTATCATAGGCGTCTCTCTTTTATGGACACTTGAAGGCGCCTCTCTTTGCCATGCCGGCGCCCCTGTTTCTCATGAATGCACCCCCATGGCATTGATCAATTGCAATTTGCAGACCTCTATTGCATGTGGACGCCCATATATGTAGGCCTCAGAGGCGCCCCTCTTTCGCATTGAGGTGCCCCTATGGGCTTCATAGGCGCCCCTCTATTGCACGTAGGTGCCCTACTGTCTCAGAACCGCTCCCCTTTGGCATGCAGACGCCTATCTTTCGTACGGAGGAGCCGCTGTGGTTCTTAGAGACGGCATGGTGCTCCCAGACGCAGATGGGGCTCTCGGAGTCGACAGTGTGGGACCTTCAGTCGCTGATGGGTGCCCGCCAGATGTGGACCCTCGGAGACGCCGGTATGGGGCCCTCAGAGATGCCGGTATGTGGCCCTTAGAGACACCGGTGTGGAACCCTCAGATACTTCAGTGTGAAGCCCTTACAATTGCTGGTGTGAAGCTATGAATGCGCTGGCTTAAATCCCTCAGAGGCCGGTACATGGACATTAGAGCTCAGTGAGAGTTTGTGTGGTGCCTTCAGTGGCCTTGTGGAGCCGTTAGACATCAACATGGTGCTCTCAGGAGCCGGTGAGTCCTCAGAGTCACCGGTGTGGGGCCTTCAGAGCTCCGAGATACTGGTGTGGGGCACTCAGAGGTGTCGGTGTGGGTCCTTCAGATGTACCTATAGAGCCTTGAGATGCACAGGTGTGGTGGCCCACAGAGGCGCCGGTGTGGGGCCCCCAGAGACACCGATATAAGGCCCTAAGAGACACTAGTATGAGTTGACCCTCAAAGGCGCCGCTGTGTGGCGCTCATAAACACTGGTGTGGAGCCATCACAGGCGGGTGGAGCCGTTAGAGGCCGGGAAGGGCCCTTAGATGCCTACAAGGAGCCTTCAGAAGCCGGCGTGACACCCTTATGGGGATAAGCGTGTCTACTTAGGAGCCCTTGAGGTGCTCTCATGAGCTCTGTGGGGCCCTACCGAGCCGAAATATGGCCACGGCCAGTTGCCGCCGCATGACCCTTCGGACTTTCATTCTCAGGGGCCTCATCTGCCTAGTTTGAATAGAAGGGCCTCTCAGACCATCAGTCTCGTGGGCCTCTTCTGGCTAGTATAAATAGAAGGGCCTGTTAGACCATCAATCCTAGGGGCCTCCTCTGGTTAGTATAAATAGAAGAGCCTCTCAGACCATTAATCTCAGGGGGCTCCTGTGGACAGTATAAATATAAGGGACTCTCAGACCATCAGTCCCGGGGGCCTCCCTAGAAAAGTGTAAATGTGGATAGAGGGCCCCCTCAGATTCATTACGAGTGGACCTCTCTGACTATCAGTCTCAGGGGCCTCTTGTGGCCAGTATGCATATAAGAGCCTCTCAGACCATCGGTCTCAGGGGCCTCTTCTGACTAGTGTGGATAGAGGGCCCTCCCAGATCACTGGTTTCAGGGGCCTCCAGTGGCCAGTTATATGAACAGAAGGGCCTCACAGTCATCAGCCTCGGGGGCCTCTTCTGACTGGTGTGAATATGAGGGCCTCTCATACCATCAGTCTCAGGGGTCTCCTCTGCCTAGTGTGAATATAAGGGCTTCCCAGGCCATCAGTCTCAGGGGACTCCTCTGACTGGTGCCGGATTGAAGGACCTCCCAGACCGAAAGTTTTGGGGGTCTCCTGTGGCCAGTATGAATAGAAGGGCCTCTCAGTCCATCAGTATCATGGGCCTCTTCTGCCTGGTGTGATTATAAGGGCCTCTCAGGTCATCAGTCTCAGGGGCCTCCTCTGACTACAGTGTAGATGGATAGGCCTCCCAGACCATCAGTCTCAGGGGCCTCTTCTGACTATTGAGGATAGAGGGGCCTCCTCTGACTAGTGAGGGTAGGGGGCCTCGGCTAGACCGCCAGTGTCAGGGGCCTATTCTGACTAGTGTGGATGGAGGGGCCTCCCAGACCACCAGTCTCAAACCTCTGACTAGTGTAGATAGAGGGGCCTCCCAGACCGCCAGTGTCAGGGGCCTCCCCAGACCAGCAGTGTGGATATTGGGGCCTCCTCAGATCCACTAGGGCCTCTCAGGCCATCAGTCTCAGGGGCTTCGACTGATAAGTATGAACAGAGGGCCTCCTTGGGTCCATCACGGCCCCTTGGAGTCCGTGCGTGGGGATTCGTGTAACTTATTTTTACCGAGTTTGTTTATTCTGGAAAGTGACGACGTCCTCTCAAATCGAGACGAGGGGCCTCGAGTAAAAAGTGGGTGGGCCAAAACACATGGTTGGCCCCCCCACCTCGAAAAGTGGGTGGGCACTTGCCCACCTGGCCCCCCCTGTTCCTACGCCTATGGTTATCAGAGAAACTTGTTCCTTCTCCGAGAGCAAACGATCACTGTTATAATGAGTCTGCTACCATTTCATTAACAACCAGCACACTTCCCAAGCCCAAACTAACTGAAACGGCAAACCGCGGCAGCCTGAACGGACAGTTCAACTTCCGAACTGTCACCGGTCCGGCTGAGCTGCCGGCATTACAGTCGATAGCGTCGGCCGGCGGCGGTTACCCGGAGGGAGTTCCCTAACTGACCGGGGCTGGACGCGCACAACGCGCCGGCACAAACAAAGAGCTGAGGCTCTCGGGGCTCCCTTGGCTCCCGGGGCTCCCGGAGCTCCCGGAGCTCTCTCGGAGCGCCGCGTCGGTGGCACACCTGTCACCGAGCTACCGTTGCCCTCCTTTGCCCCCCCCCCCCCCGGTGTCCGTTTTATAACGGGAGGGTCGAGGGCAGGTGTGAAGGCGGCAGAGGTTGGGCGGGCTCGGAGAAGAGAGGTGACCATGTCGTGCTGGTCATCGCAATGCACTTGTGGTTACTAGAAACGAAAAGATTTCGATGTGAAAAAATTAATGGATTAAGTTTAATCTTCTATTATTTCTAAATCGGCTTAAAATTGTATCAGGACAATGGTATTGAGCTAGGTACAATAAAATTGCAAATATTTAGAAAAGGTTGCATTAACTGCATTTCGCAAGCATCCTCCTTACAAATTAGCTTCGCCTAGTTTCAATTAAGATAATTAACTTCCTCATATGCCGTACTCGACTAAGAACTATCTAAATTTCTGCGGTGAGTTTTCAAGTAACCTAATTATGCCTTCTGGGTTCAAGTAAGTTGCAACAGCCCCTCCTCTCAGCCGCAGTAAACAGTGAGCGAGTACTTTGATTGAAAAATACGGCTGGACGGAGAAAGAAAAGAGGGGAGAGAAGACAGGAGAGAGAGTGAGAGAGAGAGAGAGAGGAGAGAGAGAGAGAGAGAGAGAGAGAGAGAGAGAGAGAGAGAGAGAGAGAGTCGACCTACAGTGCGGCCCGGGAGCCGTCGGGGTCACGCGGAGATGAATGGCCGACAATGGTCGCGGAGACGGTCGCAGACGTGGGAGAGGACCATTCCTCACCACCGGCCCGGGGACGAGGGAGAGGGACCGACCATTCCTCACAGGAGCGGCGGGGGGACGAGGAAGAGGGACCGACCATTCCTCACCACCGTGAGGGGGACGAGGGAGAGGGACCGACCATTCCTCACAGGAGCGGCGGCCGGGCACGGCTGACGGCTCGCAACAGAGCGAGCGGACAGGTCGCGGCACTGGACACTGAAGTGGGGTCACTGGGATAGACTATGGGGTCAGAGCGGGGCTACTAGGCGATGGTCAGTTGAGAGACGGAGGACTGAGTAGACTAGGAGTAGACTAGTGGAGAATGGAAGCGAAGGTACGAGAAAGCTCCTGAGCAATAGCTATGATCAATGGCTTCAATATAAGTAAGTAAATTCCTCTTTGCTAAGTATGGACATCGACAAAATTACATGCACAAAAGCGTGCTTACCTTTCGATCCACTGTCCAATCTTGTAGTACTCGTACTTCTCGCCGCGCTTCTGAAACTGGTATATGTCGTAGAAACCAGTGGCGTCGCCGTTCTCGTCAAAGCGAACTTGACGCTTCTGTTTTCCTGCAAAAACAAATGGATAAAAATTAATAAAGAGGTAGGTATGCTTACCAGTATAGCGCCTTTTGGGGCGACTAACGGAGCGAGCGAGAGGGTGAGCCTTGCACGTGCGAAATTTCGAGGGGGTACCTCCAACTGACTTGTGCACGGCACCCTACTAACCGGTCTCTAGCGATGTGCCAAATTTGAGCACGATCGGCCCAGCCGTTCTCGAGATCTGGAAGCGGCACCCTGCACGTGCGCACGTGCAGAATGGGTCCCAACTGACTTGTGCACGGCACCCTACTAACTGGTCCCTAACCGTGTACCAAATTTGAGCGCCATCGGTCCAGCCGTTCTCGAGATCTGGAAACGACCCCTGCACGTGCGCACGTGCAGCAGCACCCCCACTGTGGCACATGGATATGCAGTGCCTAGTGGGTGCCTACCTACATGCCAACTTTCAGCGCAATCGGCCAAGTAGTTACCGAGATATTGCAACAATTACAAAACTGACACCTCTTCGTTTTGCGCGTGGCACGTGCATAAGGGGTCACCCACATGCATCGGGAATAGTCCAATACTTGGTAGAAGGAATGAAGCTACCCTACAAAAATTACCCCATGTAAATCGGTCAAGTGGTTGCTGAGATATAAGCCTCGCAAAAGCGTCCGCACGGCCGGCCGGCCGGCCGGCCGGCCGGCCGCTCATACTCAGAAATTTCCGTTAATCTAAGGAAAGACTACGCTCGCTTCGCTCGCTCCGTAATAACGTTATAGGTAAGCATGCGTATATCTATACTGCACATATGTACCTGTAGCCGAAACCGTTAAAAACCAGGCAAATTCGAAACGAAGCACAGCGAAGGATAACGACATTATGCGTAATGTTTATTATCCATTTCACAAACCGCATCCAACATCTATGCATTTCTAGCACAATTATTTCACGGCAAAAGTTAAAACAGCATAAACAAAAATGCTGAATAAAGCACCAGCTCGCGATTGAAAGAACAAATAGCGCGCCGTTTTAGTGTTTGCACTCTTGACTGTTTCATAACGAAACTTAAATGGGCAGCTTCCCAGTAGATTATGAGTGTTTACTCTGGGGAGTTTTGTAATATACCTTTGAAAAGCCCTTCTCCTTTCTCATCTGCCGATAAGCTAGAAGCAGCATGCCAATTTCCTCGTCCCTCTTGGGAAGTCTTCCCGCAGTGCACAAGCTAAAAGGCCGACTCACAAAAGAATACAGACGAAATAAAGGAAAACTATGTAGTATAGGCACTTTGGTTGTACGTACGAATAGTAAGCTAGACATATGAGTCTGAATGAGGGTCAACCAAAAACAAGTCATCGGCATAAGAAAATATTCGCTGGTAGCCTATACCGACGTGTCATGGTGCCGTAGCCCGTATATGCACTTTTATTCCATCCATAGATGCGCTAAACTAGTACTTATAACTCAGCGCTACCCCTTACCTTACGAACATAGGTATCTCACGATAATATGTTTTTATAAGTGCCCTTTTTACAGAAGTGAGCAATGAGCTAAAAGTGCACTTGTAAATATCCTTCAAAGATGGTTTTGTAAAATGTTGTAATTTCGTAGATATAAACGTAGGCATGTACTAAGTTACATACATACCTATCCATAAAGGCTCGAAACGCCCCCTCTCTCACGCTCAAAGCACCTGCGCCTTACGGTAAATACCCTGAAGTGTCACTGACAGCCAGATGGCTTTCCCGGCAGCTCCGCACGGGAGCGGCAGAGGAGCAGCTGGGTATATCCTCCGCCGTGTCAGTGCCGGACCCGTGGGAACGGCCTTTATCCCGGCAGCTGCCGAGACGACCGTGTTTTGCGTGTGTTTGGTCCACAAACAACGTGGAAATCCCGCGGCAACACTTCCCCGTATCAGGAGTGTCACTTTGTCAGACGATGTTGTCATGATTCCGACGGTGACGGTGACAGAGGGCAATCAGGATAGAGGGCATCGGTACTCTGTTTGGACGCAAATTACGTCCGGCGTGTAACATCAGCTGCGCTCAGGCTAGAAGTGTGCGATAATCTAAGGCTAATGCGGTTCTCATTTAGCATGCATGGGTAAACGCAACTACTATGCATTTCAGACCCCATGAGACCCTGCTTTTCGGCGATAATTTCTTCAATTTGTGTCCAATTAGCTTGAAATTTTGGCAGACGATATTTCAGCTCAAGCGCCAATTTTTGTCGATATGGTCTCTTAACAAAATATCAAAATTTAGAGCACTTGTCGTTGGCTCGTAATGTTAATCAGTTTTTGCACCCGGATAGAGGCTCGCTCGCTACCGCACCGGATTGGATAGGAGCGCTGGCCAATCACGTTGCGCCGGGCTCAACTAAACTCCGCCCACTGGCCGTGACCGCGATGGGTCTATGCCGCTTCAGTCGGTGTCAGCACCGCGGAGAGGTCGGAGCGGGACCACATGCTGGAGACAAGTGAAGCTGGCAAAGTTGTTTCGGGACGAAAGCCAAAAAATTATCCGTTTGAGGGCATTTGGTATCCTCTTCACCTTATTTTGGTATTTAAACACGTCGAACCAGCTCAGAATATTCAGAATGATCAGAATCAAGGTAGGATCTATTGGAACGGAACCGGCCGTAGAAGGAAAGATGGAGACTCTTGGACTCTGAACATTTATTTAAGCCGGAGTTGCAAATGCACATATCTCATCGTCAGGTTGGGTCAGGTCACTACCCGATTACCTATAAGATCATGTGTAAGCCTCTGCTTGACCCAAAAATATTGATACCTATATTTGGCAGTGCCAATAAATGTTTCTGAGGAAGGCGCAGAAAGCAACAAAGTAGGATGAAGAGTCTCGGGCACGGCCGATTGCCTGGGGCATCGCTCCAGCGAAACGACCGTATTCGTGATTCGTGAAGCGGTGCGGGGCGCCGGGTGGAGCAGAAGCGTAACGTGTCGTATGGTAGAAATGGCCTTTATCGCGGTGTCATGCGTGTGTTATATTGTTAAGACGTGCACAAAAAGAAATAGCAATGTGGCAGGCGGACGTTGGGCACTACACGAGAACGATCATCAATAAACTCATATCTTTTTTGTAAAACTCAAGTAACAGTAGGTATGTCCTCAATGATGAGGAAACTATCTCTAGGCTTTTACTTTTCATGTTTGCATTTCAACACACAAGCTCTGGGGGCAAAGTTAGTCTGGCGACCTCCCCTAAGTCGATGATCAAATGGATTAGTCCTGAAGGTGTTCAATGCTTAGTTGCACCGGGATGATATAAATCGATCACGCCGGCATACATTCCTAATCAAATTTCATATATCAAACACATAAATTGCATCATGTTAATGGTGATTCTGTTTTGCAATTTTGACGTAGTCTGACGCGATACATAATCTTACGCAATCATTTGAAATCAACAGCGTCTTTTATGCGCGTTTTTTCACAAGCCCCGAATCTTGTGTGGAAATGTATATTTTTTTGTGACTGAACCAGGTGTACGTACATTTGTGATAGATACAATTAGTCGAGGGCTTCAGCTGGTGCGTTACTTATGCGCGCTATTTAGCTCATTCGATGAAATTACGGCTGCAACGACAACTGCACGGCAGCTACGGTCCATGCGAGCCGCCCCGGTGCGACAGCTACTGCCCCGCCCGCTCCACGCAGCCGACTGACCGGCCAAGGTCACTACCCCGTCCGCCGGGAGGGCGGAGCTTAATGGTCACGTGTTTGTGACGTCACACCTGCGCACGGATAGCCTCTACTCCACTGACGGATTTACGGAGCCGATTTTAACATTACGGGGCAACGACAAGTACCCTAAAATTTGATATTTTGTTAAGAGACCATATTGGCGAAAATTGGCGCTTGAGCTGAAATGTGCATTGTGAAAATTTGAAGCAAATTGGACAAATAGTAAATAAATTATCGCCGAAAATTAGGGTCTCATGGGGTCTGAAAAGCATAGTAGCAGGATCTGGATGTATTTAGCTTAGAGCATGCTATATTCTCTCGCCACGCCAGCTTCTTTCCAGTAGCGGCAACCAAATAATGGCTGTTGTCGGGTAATAATATTTTCCGCTGAATGAATACACAGAAGTGACCGCAATAATCCGCAGCATTTGTCACATATTGCCTCTCTCGTGGCAAACAGCTGTGACTGACGCCGTTTCCATACGAGCGGGAGGGGTTTCGGTTAATCGATTAACAACATATAGCGACAGTGCTGACCGTGGCTCCGTTTTTGTGCGCGGGTATCGACGCGAGTGTTTGTGTCCGTTCTCACTGCAGCCTGCTTGGGAGAGACCTCCACGAAATGGGCGCCCGTTTTTAGCACGCGCTGCGACAGTTCGATCGGCTCCAGATGAGCTTTCAGCCAGCTTGTTGCCAGTCGCGCCGCGAGTTTTTGCGTGCGTGCGTGTTTTATATCTCTGCCAGCGCGGCGCTGGGAGGTTCTGGCGTCTGTCAGGGGGCGGCGGTCGGTTTATCTCAATCGAACTGTGCCGGTCATCAGCCGATTGGAGCCGATTCAGAGCCGGCGCTGCGGTCGGCTGAGTTGACAGCGCTGTCGGGCTGCACCTGGTGCCTTCTGCCGGCGGGGGTGGGCGGACCGCCGCCGGCACCGTCAGCAGAGCTGACCGCACGTCCGCCGGCGCCGCCGCTGACCCGTGACTCCTCGACGGCGCGGTGGGCTCCGGCCCCCGCCGTCCGAACGGACGGAGAGCGAACTCGGGGCGACCGGGACAGTCGAATATGCCGCTAACCGATGCGGCCAGTCCGCCAGTCGTCCGTTAGCGTTCCAATTTAGAGCCGGAGCCATAAGCGAGCAGGGAAACTAATGATGCAATATGATGGGACCCAATGATGAATCGTGGCGAGGCTGAACTGCTGAAAATAAAATTTTCTTGCTGAGGTGTTCGAAAGTTTGCAGCGGCGACGCGACAAGATGTAATCGGTTTATGCCTCGATGCTAAAATACGACGTTGGGGAGAAATGGATAGTAGTTAAATAAAAG